TTCTCTATAATATATGAGCGCCTAAGTTTAAAAACTTGTATGCGCAAAAACAGACCAAAACAGTAATTAATTGATAAATATCGTGCAATATATATTTTTGAATAAAATCACTCGACTATACAAACAAAACATGATACACGATTTACACAAAATGAAAGAAAATTTCATATTTTTGTAATTCATAGATTTAACTTAAGAACACAGAAAAAAAGTGTCACAATAATATCAAAAAGAAAGAGAAGGAACAAATAGGCAGATCAATCTACCTCAAAGCAACTTAAAATAGACGCATAAATTGTTCACGATTTTCCCAACAGAACATATTAAACGAAACATTAAATTTTTTATTATTTCCAATATTCCTGATATTAGCAGGAATCAAATTGTAAAATTTAGGTGCAAGATATGTCACAAAACGCAAATTTAAATCTCGCCTGGACTGCGGGACGTTCAGGTTATGAGTGGTGTTTGCTCGGGTCATATAATTGTGGGACACATAATCTGCATTTAATTTCCTACTTGCATGTACAAAACTACATACTGCAAGGATATATAAGATTTTAATATTGTTTATTTCTTGTGAATAAAGTTGCATAGTGGGATATAGTCTAGGTTTTTTTAGAATGATCCTTACAATATGGTTCTGCACCACTTTTAACTGCCCAAGATTTGAACCGTACATCCCACCCCACACAATTATGCCATATACCAATAGTGGCACCACAAGTGCTTTGTAAATCATTAATAGTAGTTTAATGTTCAGTATATTACGAAGAGCGTAGAATTTATGAATGAAAAATCTAATTTAGTTGCTCAAATACAGCACATGTCGGTCCCACTTCAAGTGCTTATCAACAACAACCCCCAAATATTTAATTTCATTTAATTCTTTCAAAGGCTCATCAATATTATCAAGTTTAATTTGATTAAATGCTGGTCTATTAGCCATGGTTATAGAGAAGGTAATGTAATGAGTTTTTTTTATATTCAGAGTTAATTTAAATGTGTCCAGAAGGTTTTTAATTTTTGCAAAATCAGTCTTCAATTTTTCACCTGTTGATTCCCATGTCTCTCCATGAAACACCACCACGGTGTCATCAGCATAGGCAATTACATCGCCATCAACTGCAAGACTGCAGAGGTAATTGACATATATATTAAAAAGAATTGGCCCAAGTACTGTACCCTGTGGAACTCCATGCTGAACCGTCTTAGGTTCACTCAGAACATCCGCAATCCTGACAATTAATAGAACAGTGTCTAGTAGTTTCGTATGGTGCTTCCTGCGGTTTCATAAGATGAGTAATAAAATTTTCTATACTGCAGATTTAACGCTGTCTACATACAAATCTTAATACTGTTATTGGCATAATTGAAAAACTCAAAATGTTCAAGTTTTCAAATTTTTCAATAGTTGATTCATCTATTTTTTTTTCTTAGAGAGTGTGTCAACGTGAACAGAGACATGAAAAGTAGTACATAATATTTTGTAGTATTAATACTTACCTAGGTTTATTATGCATACATGTGTCTTTTTCACACATGAGTATGAATATGAAGTCAAAATTGGGGAAAGACGGACAACTATGAAAGTAATTTAGACATCAGAATCAAAGGTTTTCGTATTTGTTGTCGATGTGCATTAGGATGTTCCAAAAAAATAAACGGTCTTCTTTTCAAACGCATACTCTCTAATTTTGCTTGAATAATGTTAAAACAATTACAAACAACGTTTTGCGTACTTAGAACATGTCAAGACTTGCATAATAGGCGCGCGGTAGCTAACATATTGCAGTGTTCGTGTGTTCTGTTAGTACCATAAACGGAATAGGAGACGTAAAGCATCAAATTACCTAACTGTGTTAAGAAACTAGTTCCCTTATACCAAGTTTGAGATTTGCAAAACATACAAGCAAAACACAAGAAGTGGACAACCTGTTTGGTAATGAAGATAGGATCTTCGTGCTATGACCGAGAGAGCCTGCTCGTTTAGCTGTGGTGGACCATAAATTAGCCATAAAAGAAGAAAATGCGCATCTTGGAAAAATCGAAGTACAAAAGCGGTGAGCTTCCTTAAACTCCTTTGGCGTCATCTTATGAACCAGTGCAAGAAAATTCATCTTCAGATTCCGTCATAGATTTACAAAAAAAAAGCTTATTTTTGCTTGCCACCAGCACGCCTTCGAATTGGTGTTAAATGGCGTGTTTAAATCAAAGATCGACCAAGTGACGACAAGCTGCTAGACATGAGTTGAGCAAAGAAGTAGCTAGAGACAACTACCGAGAATTAATAGAAACTTCAATAATATTTCTTGGCGGAGATAAAATTTTACCGCTAGGCGCCATGCATCAAGCTCGATAGATTGCCTGAGCAATCTACATTCATTAAAAATAGTCTTTCTCAGTTAACAGCTCAAACTTTCTAATAAGGATGACGAAGCGCTGTTAGATATCTGCCTCTCCTGATCGTGATAACATACGTGAAGCCGTGGTTATAATGCACTTTAGCGGTAAAAGCACCTAACCATGATTTATGATTTTTAAAGGCAATGAAGGGTTACGAAAAAATTTACAAAACCATTTCAAAAGCAGCTTCACAAAAGTCCTGTCAACATTTATGGTATTTGACAGATGATTTCTCTGTCTTATATCTGTTTGACGATGACGTGGATGAGGAAACTGAAGTAAAAATTGTTGCTAATTTAGTCAATGAAAGCCCATCAGCCCACGGCAAACGCCACATCCCATCGAAAGAATAACTTTCTGGCTCACTTTATGGTGAGTCTGACGAATAAACGTTCCTTTGTCTTCTTTTACTGCTATTCTGGCAATAGACGGCACCTTATACTTGTCTTGTTTCGATAGATCTTATACCTCAGATAGATGTCCTGACCTGAAGCCAAGCATAGTCGATTCTGACGAGTTGCCAAAAAGCACAAAACATCTTTCCATGGTTGACTGTCTGTGGTCGGACTGACAAAACCAGTATATTTGGATGGTAGCTATTCTTCGTTTTTTCATTTCAGAGAAAAATATCGGTCGCTTTGTTCCAATCAAAGGCAAGTCCTTGTTCAGTCGCCAAAATTAATGACAGCTTTCTCGACGAGTGTCCAACTTTATGGCCAAATACTGATTCTTTTCAACACGCTGAGAATAAGGTTGGTGCAAACACAGCGAGCAGTTAACGATACGACAGAAAGAGCAGTCAAGTTAATGTAAGACGTAATGACTTAATCACTGCTGATGAGGAACAAAAACGATTTTTATTACGTTGCGTACAAGAACACATCAGGTATATCCAGACTGTAAAAAGAGAACTTTGGAAAAAAATATTAAATAATGTTCTTTTAACGATAAATATCTAAGAGATGTAAGATACAAATAAAGCAGTGTTTTATCTGTCGAATAACAATTAGGTTTTGGAATCCATATATGGTTTCAACTTTCAAATTTAAAGTTTGGTCGTTCCCCGATCGCAATGATATTTATTTTTTGAGTTGTTAAAGTCAAATGAAAAAAAAACTAGAGAATATGCTATCTCAATTCGAACAAAAATTTGTTTGCCCCTATATGCTGATACACCCTACTGTACAGTTGCTTTATGCTTATTGCCAATCCTCAGCTTGGCTTATGTCTCCAATCTACGTAGAGTAACGAAGAACGCGCAGCAAAGTGTTCTCTATTGGAGGTATAAGGTCTATCTGTATCTGTCTACTATCAGGCCAGAAGCGACGGCAATAAGCGGCCATAGTGAGGACTCGGCTATAGATGCGTGCTGAAATACATCTACGGGTTCAACAGGTAACTGCTGTTCACTCTGACTGTTGTGGGTTCTGGTATCTGGTAATAGACACCTCCTATCTATCTCTGTTACAGGAGACCTTGCTCTGCTTTTGTTTGTTGTTCTAACTAGACTAAAGACCTAGACCGTGATAATGATTGCTACGAACCTAGAACCGGCTATAAATCGACACCTAACTTTTTTTAATGATCATCTAGAAGAAAAACTTGTACATAAAGGTGATAGGGTCTAATATGAAGTTTTTCCTATAATATTTTTGTATACAGAAAAGTACTATCGCATGAAGTTGTATTCTTCTAAACGGAACACCATTTATATTGCCATTGAAAATGACAGTACCTTTCTTCTGATTCAAAATATATCTGTTCTGTTGAACTTATTTTTATATTACTTTAGTCAAAAAAAGTCGCTGTGTCATTTAATCATATGCATTCTGGCCCTATACCAGATTGCCTAGGCGGAACTGGTTCGAACTCGGAAACACATAAGTAAATGACGCACAAGCTTCAAATTGTTGGCCAAATAAATGAAAATAAATATGATAAACCATACATATTTTGAATCAGAAAAAACAGACTATCATTTTCTCTAAAAGTATACAGGGTGTGCCATTCTGAAAACACAACTTCGGTAACACCTTTAAGGTACATCCTGTATACAAAAAAGGTATCACGTCAAAAAATTCGTATCTGACCCTATAACTTTTATACACAAGTCGTGATCAAAAATGAAACATCATACATAGGACCGCATTTTAAGGGCGGGTCTTCTATGTAACATTTTTACCTCAAGAGCTTCATTAAAAAGATACGAGGTGTGAAGATTAAAAATAAAAAACATACCCTGTATCTCAGCCACTGGCACACGTTAACTTTGAGTAAAGACTTTTCAATGTGGACACGACTTGTGAATCATCCTGCATACATCTAACTTTTTCTCCTATAAGGTCGTATAAAAAAGTTAGAGGGGTTTCAATATGTATAACCGTAATTTATAACCATACATGGTTGGCCATCTGTTGGTCGGAAGGACGAAAACAGTGCGATTGGTAAACACCTTTTTATGTGAATGTACATTATTTCATCGTAGCTTGTTTGGATGAACATTTTCATTCTTTTCAACGCATGTATGTCACTCGATATCAATATCATATTGATCTTAGGCAAGGATTACTACACTGAAACCACAACATTCCCAACCACAACAAACTTTATTAGTTCCATCTAAATTATCAACATCGGAATCTTTAATAAATTACATAAACGTCTCCATAACAGCAATACGGCTATCTGGTGAGCGGTTAGGCTTCAGCAGGTTTCTGCTGGAATGCAGCTGCTGATGGAAGCGATGTCGCATGGCTAGTGGCAACGCCCTTTCTACCAGTGGCTAGAGAGTTAGCTACAGCATGGTAGGAGCTGAAACCATCGAAGCTACGAGCTCTGCTGCTACTGAAGTGGATGGGGAAGAAGACGTTGTACGAGGCATCGCCTGCAATATATCAAATTTCGAGTAAGGGCTGCAAAGTTTCTGATTATTCCAGTAGTCCTTCCTAATCAACGATTTCCGGAATAAAAGCTAAATTAAAATGTTATTTTTTTATCTGCCTCACTGATCAATTAAATTTTTGTAGAACGCTTGGTTTGGTTTATGCACAAAAACCACAAAATCTATCTTGGGTACACAAAAAAGAGTGCCCTTGGTTCAGGTGTAACTATCTTGAGTTAACATATTTCTATTAACTAAGGTGTATTTCTTAATTTTAACAGCTATATTTCTTTGGAGCAATGACGTTACCTCAGTTAAATACCTGTGGTCTCGTATCAGTGTAATAGTTTCATAAGGATTTGTACTCTTGTATCAAAAGTCATATTTATAGCAGAACACTCTTTATGTAACCCTAGAATGTCATTTCGAAAAACCATGATCTATACATACCTTTTTTTCCTGCAAACCCAAAAGGCGAAAAGCTGTTGCTATCGTCGTCATCGTCGTTATCATTGTATTCATCAGCAGCTGGAGCTGCAATTTAAAAAGTTCCAGACAAATAGCCATAAGGATCAGCGTTGATCAAACATTAATATCAGACGTTATGATTTTCTCCTATTTTTTCAGTACCTTAGTCACCATTGAGTCAATTTTTCAATAATCACTTTTACTGTGATAGAGAGGACTAAGCTTTTCACAAATTGGCAATGTGATTTTTTTTCTGTACTCTTCTAAAATGCATCTAAGAGATAAAGCAGTATCTGTAATGTGTGGCCACTAGTTCCATCTGCAAACATCAAAGTCTATACAATGGACAATAAACTTGGGTCCAGACTCCGACAGATAGATTAATAGGCCAAAAGGGGTAATCTGGATTTCTGTGAATGAACTTCATCGGAGGAAGGTAGTCAACCAAATTTGGAAATATCTGTTGGTAAATTAATTTCATTAATTGGAAGTGAGAAATGGAAATAAATATTCATAAATACCAGCTGGCACAGGTGAAGCTTCAGGTGCAGCCACTGCTGCATCCAGATTATCAGCAGATTCCGCATTTCCAAAGTCTTCAGCAGGGATCAAGCCAGCTTGCTCGGCTTGAGGTATCTCATCAGCTAATTATGAAGAAAAAACAATTGACTAACAGAAAGTATACGCATTGAATTACTAGCTACACAAGCCAAGTGTTAAAGTAGCTAATCATATCCCCTAACTGTAAAAAAAATCATTGCTTTTGATAATCTGTACAGCTTCTGATTACTAATCCTCTATTCGCTCAAAGCCAGTTTCAGTTGTTTTACTTCGTGTTTACTGGTGATCCCAAACCCTGACAGCCTAATGATTTTTGTAATACGTATAAATAATATTTTACCTTTATTGGGAGTACTGAGAACTGTTGTTCCCGTTAAGTTTAACCAAATATGAAAAAAAGTGCAAGAGATTCAAATATGCAGTAAATGAAAAAATAATTACTTATCAAGTTTTGTTATCTATAGAACTTCATACCATCTTGAGGGGCTCCAAATACTCCTGCGACTGCAAGAAGGGCAAACAAGCAGAACGAATACATTTTTGTTATTGTAGTGTTCTCATGCAGCTAACTATACAGTTCAAGTGTAAGCTTACATTTTTATACCTAAAAATGTACACCCACCTAACCGCATGTCTTCCTAGATTACGGTTAAGCCAGAAAAGAGTAAATTTGAATACTATGAATAAAGATGGAGACGCTTGGAGATTTTTAATGTGATCTAGTTTGAACGTATATGACATGTATTTCCATTGAACCTTCGCTTCAAGGTAGATTAATGCTGCTTGGTGTAGTGATTAATCAGATCGACTGTGTAAAAATGCAAACAGATATCCAATACAGACATACTACGTCATGTAACTTATACATTAACTTAATTCTGTTAACAAGCAGAATATTACAATAATTCAGTGATTCTGTCTAGGCAGTACTGCGTAATATCCTATTTACACGCACACATTTGTACCTAATGGCTCAAGATACTCTAAATGAGTGGCAGGATATAGTATCAGAACAATAACGGTTGGACGTTTGAATTCCTCATAGCTAAGCTTTATCACGGAAGGCGTCTACTGATTAGCACGAGTCTTCTACTCACAATGGTCCTAACTAGACTAGTACGTTCAATTGCTGTATGGTCCCAGAATTGATGGTCGCTTGAGTTAACAGGAAAAGGAATATGTTTAGTCCGAGAAGAACTCATAAAATGTTTGTTCCTAATAAGTAGGTACCAGCTTAACATCATTCATTAGTATTATTATACAGCAAGATGACTGAGCACTGAAAAAATGTGAAGAAGTTCTTATTTTAGCAATCTAACTTTTGTTTAGAATAATCCAACACGTACCAGCGTAAACATGTTGTCCATACAGTGTCCGACTTAGTTAATTTATGCGCAACTGCTGTATTGTTAGAGAGAAGTGCCCTTTAAGCGATTTTCAAGAAATCTGAAAAATAAGTTAAAGTATGTTTTGAAACTGTACCTCGTTCACCTTGTAACGTCACAAAGTCATTACTTTGCACATTCATAAATTGTATAAAACTTATACTTAAAAAATGATTTCCAGGAACCTTACATATATACCCATGATTTGATGCCATGTTGCATTTTGTACTCGCTTTGGTGGTACATATACTAAAATTGGAACGATACAGAGAAGATTAGCACGGCCCCTGTGCAAGGATGGCACGCAAAATCGTGAAGCGTTCAACATGTTTCTGGTTTCAAAATTTAGAGTCGCCAGAATCATTTAACTTCTTTTCTTTGTCTCCCTTTATCCGTCTTCCAGGCATGATTAATAGTAATAGACTGTAGTGCTGCGTATATAAGTCTTAGGGTTTTTTCTTTGTTCTTTCCATATATGTATTTTCATCCTACTTACCACGGCACTCTTACACGTGAATACTGCAAAATGCCCCGATAGACCCCTGGGCGAGAAGAATGTGTGACCCTAATACTCAAATTTCATATTCTCCTTCCCTACTAGATCAGCTTTTCTTCTGATGCTTTCTCTACGAAAAGATTTTGGACATATTATTCTTATTATTTAGGTGTATAACTTGTTTCTGGTTATAAACCCAGTGACATTAATAAAAAAAGATCATAACATAATTGTGAGTTTCCTAATGAGCTTTCATCATTGTTTTGTTTCAAACATTATTAACGAGTTACACTATTTCTCAAAAAAACAACTTAGTAAGATGTTTGGTTTATGCAGATAAGCTTATGACTGCCCAAATTATAAAAGTTTCATTATAAGTAAGAAGCAGTTTGCAATAGTGGTGTGTGAGTTGATATATTGCTACCATTAACAGAAACAGCAGCTCAGAACTCGATTGATAACAATTGACAATACTAAGTGCAGAAAAACCATAGACGTAGGTTTCGGACAGATAGACTTACTTGACCACAATATCTTGAAATAAACATTTCTGCAATGTCTTGTTCATTGTCATGTGTCTTGCGTAAATTGTGTGTGTGCACTGTCTGTTGTTTTAAGATGAGGTTCAGTACATTTCCGCATTGTAACCATGACAGGTTAGTCTAATCATATTAGACGAAAATATTTAATAATAATTAATATTTTTAGGTATTTATGAGACCTACAAAACGGGGTCACACGTGAAAAGATCCGACTGATAGCAAAAAATGCATGGTCGAAAACCGAGGCAAACTGCAAGTTTGATTTCTCGCCGATATTCGAAATTCTTTAAATTCGTAGGATTCGTACTTCTGAATAACCACAAAAAAATGGAGTAGATTGGTCGAGTAGTTTTTGAGAATTTCTAATTTTTTATCCCAAAACACCTGCATTTCGGGCATCAGTACTACTTTATTGAGCAATATACAGGGTTAGTTCAAAGGGCATTCTATAGCAAAATACACTAGTTTACCTTGACGATATCAATCGCAAATCATTCCGGAAAATTAATGTTATTTTTATGCAAAAAGGATGGGTTACGTTTTTTCTTCTAAACACATTCAAGCATTCATATTTGTGAGTAATTCGCAAAAAAATATGATAGACACATCAGCTTTGTTTTAAAATACGTATAGTAACGTATATCTTTTTCGAATATCGTTGCGCAGTTCAATAACTCACAAATATGAAATGTTTGAATTTGTTTAGAAGAAAAAACGTAACTTTTGTTTTCGCATAAAAATAACATGTATCTTCCTGAATGATTTGTGATTCATATCGGAAGGTAAACACGTGTATTTTGCTATTAAATGCTCTTTGAACGAACCCTGTATATTGCTCAATAAACTAGTAGTGATGGCCGGAAAAAAGGTGTTTTGGGATAGACAATTGGAAATTCTCAAAAAACTGCTGGACCAATACACTCCAATTTTATTGTTGTTATTTAGAAGTATGAATCCTAAGGATTTTAAGAATTTCAAGCAGTTGCGTGAAATTATCGACGCATTACCAACAAGTGCCAAAACCTGCATTTTGCATCGTTTTTTGGCCATAACATGTTTGCTATTAGTTGAATCTTTTTAACGTTTTCTCATTCTTTGTTGTCGAATAAAAAGTTATCCCACAACAATTGGTGTACCCATTTTATGCATCCATGTTTTAAATACCCCCTTGAATAACTTGCACCAATATAACCAGACTTTACAATTCCTTCGGGGAAATTTGCTAATATGATTAGACTATTATTGTTTTGTCTGTATGCAACTAATTATACTAATCTTGTTCAGGGCCAGATTGAAAACCGCTTTAGCAATATCAGGTGCTTTTGTGCAATCTAAATATGTCTACTCCTCAATTTGTTATGATTACACAATAAATATACTGTAAATATATATACATATATAGATATCATCCTATTCTAAATGTAAAAAGTAGATCTTTGCGGTTGCAGTGCTACAGTGCTTTGACAAGCAAAAAAAATGACTTGTAGATGCCCTCGAATTCCGTCAGGTGTTTTCTGACTTTACCTTCCGCTTTTGTTAATAAATTTGTTTGACAGTCCTACCACGTCAACTTTTTTCTAATGGAAGGAGATTTGAAACACTCTGTTTTTAACGAAACCTCCCGTATTTTATTGCACATTCGGATAGGTACTACCAAAAGGAAAAAAATGATATAACAAGTATACAGAGTGTGCCTTCGCAACTTCGATAACACTTTTATGGTACATCCTGTATACAAAAAAAGTATTACGTCAAAAAATTCGTATCAGACCCGATAACTTTTATACAGGGTGATTCATAAGTCGTGATCAAAAATGAAACATCATACACAGGACCGCATTTTAAGGGGGGGGTCTTCTATGTAACATTTTTACCTCAAGAGCTTCATTAAAAAGATACGAGGTGTTGAAGATTAAAAATAAAAAACATTCCCTGTATATCCGCCACTGGCACACGTTAATTATACGAATCTTGTTCAGGGCCAGATTAAAAACTGCTTTAGCAATATCAGGTGCTTTTGTGCAATCTAAATACGTCTACTCCTCAATTTGTTATGATTACACAATAAATATACTGTAAATATATATATATAGAGAAAATTCAAAGAAAAAATATATTCCACATTTAGGCTTAAAATCAGAGAAATTTTCTTCGCACAAGACTCATCTTAACCCAAAGTAGGCATTCATTATGAATTTGTTGTAATACATCCCAAGTAATTCTGTTGATTCCCAGATGTTTGATCTCAGGTCGAATATTTTTTCACAACTATGCAGCAACTTGGGTAACATGTTTTACTAAAGAATGTAAATTTGATGACTAGAAGATATTTGTGGTACTAACATGGTTGGTAACACGGCTCCGTATTGTGTTTATCTCGAAGGACCATCTATCACTAATGCTTAAGAAAACCTAGCGGATCCCAGAACCGGATGTAGACCTGTGGCTCACTAATAGTTGGACACGGAGAGGCGGTCCGACCAATTGGCCAGCAAGATCTCCCGATCTGACCCCTCTCGACTTCTTCTCTGGCGCCATATAAAAGAAGGGGTTTATCAGGGGTTTCTTTCAACACCCGAGGACATGAAATATTCTACAAGCGAGTCGTTCAAGCGGATAACTAGAAGGCCAGATAATTTCAACGTGCATAACCTTGTGTACTTTGCACCAAGCGAATAAATTCAAACAATTTATTGACGATTGATTGTCTTGTAATGAGATTATTTTTACTGTGTAAATAAAAGCTATTGTTTTGGTAAAAGATTTT